ATTGAAGGTGTTGGTTTATGTTTAGTCAACAATGGCATGCCAATTGGAAGAGTTGGTGGAAAGAGTTGGTGTGGATGCTAGGAGGAAGCTTCCTCCTTTGATGTCACTCGTGACATCAAGAGGAGGTAGTTTGATGTCACCAATGACATCAGAGGAGGTCTTTACCTCTATAAATAGATGCACTCCTTCAATTGTAGAAACCATCCCAAAAATAATACAACACATTGTAGTGAGTAGAGAGTTAAATGGAGAAATTCTCTTAAGTGTAATTGGGAACTCTCCCCTTCCTTTGTTAATATTAAAAAGGCAACTATTCTCTGGTGGACGTAGGATTATTTTGATCCGAACCACGTTAAATCTTGTGTTCTTTCTTTTACGTTTCCGCTAACAGAGAGATTTCAACTTTATCACCTTTAATTTTTTAGTTGAAACCATATGAAACTTCTCTCCGCTGTTTTAATTTCTTGGTTTGAACTACTTTAGGCTTGGAGTACATGGAACAGAATTATCAGTTTTGAAAATCTTGTTTTTACTATCAGAAATCTCTGGCACTTCTCGGCCATCTGTTTTATACACTCGTGTGCTCCCCAGCTGCTGGAAATATGGTAACATCTATGAAGAGCTTAGTGCCCTTAATCACTTAAAAATATAAACATCACCAAATTTTAACTTGTTGTCCAGCACGAATGCCTCCCCTGCCGGGGACATGAAGAACTAAATCACCATAGTTCTCGAGGAAATACTTCCTATCAAATTTCAAAGGTATGGACTGCCAAAGGAGATGGCTCAGTACATTGATTTTTAGCTTGTAGCTTACCAGTTTGAAAGGAGAGTAGACGTGTGATGGTTTGCATAAAAGATACAATAAATGGATTCTTAGATTTAAAAGCTTTTGCTCTTTGATATGCTTGTCCCACTCTTTGTCCATTTCTATCTTGTTCAAACATTAAATTAAGATCATTGTTTTAATACTAAATGGAGTAAATTATATACAACTGACAGTGTGAAGATTATTTACACCGTCAATGTAGTATAACCTGTGACAGTAAGCAGTTACCATTTCATCGAGTTACTAAGATACCTATCATAAAGATTTACCAGTAATTACCTAATAAGTGACTTGATATTGTGTAAATATATTTGACACCATCAGTGCATAGAACTTAGACTTTATTAAATTATTATTTTTCAGTTCAGTTCATAGCCAAAAACAGCAGATAAAATACTCACTTTGGCCCTCTCTTGAGAAAGAGGGTGAAGCTACATCCTCTTGCAACTTCTCAACCTTGATTCTTTTGACATGCACGTCAACTGAAACATCATGCTCCGCATCCCCTTCTTGTCTTTTTCTTTTGCTGCATTGTCCTAACGGACAATGGCCTGGGTTTTCAACAGAACGCTCAACCACATCTGGAATTTTTGCTTTCGCTTTCTGGCTTCTTGGAATATCCTCTACGATCTCTACAGAATCATCCGACCCGGACTGGTCTCTTTTTGGTACATGGTGTGTTTCATGGCAATGGAAAATGGGAGTGTGTATACCATGTGCAGAACTGTATGGATATTCAATTTCTGATGCACTCAAATCAAATATACTGACATTAAAATGGGAACGAGCATTGTATCCAAACATCAAAAAGTGCCCGCAGCTTATTGAATAGAAGTCTCTGAAATCTTGCCATCCAATGCCTAGACAAATTTGGCCATGAGAAAGAACCACTTCAACCTCCCATACTTCTCCAGTGGGAACCTCAAGATACACAGGGTTTAGCATGTTCTTGCAATATTTGCTGGCAAAGTCTTCCGGAATCCTCTGCGTGCAAAGGAGATCTGAGCTCAGTTTCATACATCTCGAATTACAGTAAAATATGCCTGTTTTCTCGAGAAAATCCTGCAATATACTTGCATAGTGTATTCTCTGTTCTTTCAGAAATAACTATCAAAAGAAAAATATCCACAGTAATCTAATTAGGCCAACTAGAAAAGATAGTGGATATTTTGGATGTAATTAACATGTGAATTGTGCTATCTCAGTTGTACTATAGATTAGGTGACAGATATGATTTCATTCTTCTATATCAGACTATCTAAGCAAGACGTGTGTGAAAATAAAATAACGTATTCCTATAAGATTAACTATATATCTTCATAAAGTTGCTCATTCATGCTATTAGTGAAGCCTTAACCCCTTAATGTAGCTACCTGACTCTTCCATCGAAGTCTACACTTAAAATTGACAATGAATTCCTATAACTTGTAAAAAAACATAGGCCTAAATTTGTTAACGACCTGTGTTAGTTTCTCCACTATACTCTTTTCCCAACTTTTATATAACTTATTTCTCATTTTGTATCTTTGTCAGCAGACTGGCCCACAAGTTTTTTCTAACAGATCTGCAACTACTAGCCATGGGAAGTTAAATTGTATTTCTCTTTATTCAAACCAAATATTTGTAAATTCAGCGTCATTAGAAGCCTATATTCAAATTAGAGAAATAAAAAACTCTAAACATTTTCAGTAATACTATTTCCTTTTTACTAAGTTGAATGCACTTTTCTATACATGGAAACAATTTAACTTTGAACTTTCCCTTTTAGTCCTAATGACATGCTTGTATAGCCACAAAAATTAAATGAAATTTAGTACCACAAGTTTCAAAAGTTTTTATTTTTCTTCAAATTCTGTAGCAAGTACAACACTTCGGCCCAAATAGTCTGAGAGGGGATTTATTTAACTCCAAGGAACTAAATCTCTATTTTGCTTTGCGTGAAGTCAAGACATAAGATCACAGGTGAAATAAGAAGAACTAAATGATACAAAAAGAAATTGATAGCAGATGCATGTATACCAAAATCTTAGGTTCAACACACATAAGACATAGATTACAAATAGCAGCAAAAGAAGGAAAAAAAGGAAGAAGGAAGAAGGAAGAAAGTGATTACTAGACGGCAGCATTAATATAATCTTGAAGAACTTTGGTTGCGGAATTTTAGCAGTAGAAGATTTCCAATGGGAAGAGCCTTCGCCACTTTGCAATTGGGGCTTAGCTGCCATGACTGATCTAATTTGGAAGTTGGTACTATGTGATAGTAGAGCAACAGAGTTAGTTCTCTTTGTTTCTTAATTAATTAATGCTTAATAGGTAGGTAAATAGAGATATTATGATCCTTGATGTGATAGATTAACCCAGGATCGAGGAGACAAATAAATCTAATCTATATATATATATATATATATATATATAAAGGAAGGCCAACAAAAGTTGAGTTGGCAGCTCTCTTTAAGTCACCATTAACATTTATCGTTTTTAGCATCTTTTTGCCATTCTTTCCCCTTATTACTTCTTTTTCCTATTTAAAAACCGGTTGATGTCATGTTCTTTTCGGTTCACAATAAGTGATCAATTTATTTTTAGCACGTCTGTTAAGAAAATATTACATTATATACAAAAATACCTATTATGACTAAATTACCCCTAATTAAATATTTACTATGAAGGGTAAAAAAACTTTTTAGGGATATGTATATAGAGGTTATTTATAAAAATAAATTGAATTCTTTCTTGATTACATGATTTGAAACTTATTTTGAACCAAAATAAAAAAGCAAATTGGTCACTTGCTAATTCAGAATTCCAAACGTTGCATCTTTAGCCAAAAGTTACCTCTTTAATTTTTAAATAATTACACTTTAAATGCCTTTTTAACAGATTTTACAAAGAGTCCAAGCGTTGCCTCTTTCGCCAAAAGTTTCCTCTTCAATTCCTAAATAACTACACCTTAAATGCCTTTTGCAGACTTTACAAAGATATTTCGAAATCCACTACCCAATATTATTTATCCATATTTTCCAAAGATGTTTTGGTAACTTATTATTATGGACCGGAGGAAGTATTTGTCTTCGACATCCCTGCAATAACCTCTTTCACTTTCTCATGTTCAAGTAATCAATGGGTTCTGGCGTGGACACCACTTATATGCAATTTCTCGACAGTCATCATTTTTGACTGAACAGGATGTCTGCACTACTTGAAATTAAGGATGTTTAAATTTCTCAAGTTGAAAAAAGTTGGGTGTAAATATCATTCACCGACAAAAAATCCTTCCTCGTATTCTATGGTAGTATAAATTTTTTTTTTGAAGTCACATGTTTTTTTAGTTTTTTATCTGCCACGTATATTTTTCGCTTTCTCACATGTATTACTTCAGTAAATGCACACATGATAATTAAGTTCGTCTAAGCTATACTTAAAAAATATTTATCTTTTTAATTTCATCGTTACATATTCTATGTCGACTAAATTTATAAAAAAGATTATTGTAAGTATCATTTATAACCGTGGAAAGTGCGAAAATAACGAAATTTATAAAGATATTATTTGACGACGCAAGTGCGAGCTACTTAACTAGTTACTTATAAGTGGCTTTTGGTTCATCATCATAAGTTGCCGCCATTTCTACGAAGACGGAAAAATCAACATCACATTAGAGATATTAGTAGTACTCCCTCCCTTAAGTTTTACTTGTCACGTTTTAATTTTGGTTAATCAAACTACATAAACTTTGATTAATATTATATATATATTACCATATTGATATGAGAAAATAAGGGTGTACAAACCGAACCGGAAAACCGCACCAAACCGAAAAGTCAAACCAAACCGATTAAAAAATCCGACTAGGTTTGGTTTGATTTGGTTTGGTATTGAGCAAAAAAATCCGAACCAACCCGGCACATAAATATATAATTTTTATATAGAATTTACTTTAAAAAATGTCTAGAAATATTTGGGATTCTCTTGCGTGATATAATATTTAATAGTATACTAAGTGCTACATATTTATTAACCTTAAATAATGGGTTGTCTGATCACTTTATCATCAAGTATTACTGAAATGCGTCAATCTCTTTGTTCTTTCATATTCATATCATATGTTAACATCTATTAAATTATTATATCTTTTCGGATGTGAAGTGATCATTATTATTTAGGTATCATATTTATTTTTATGTTTAATTACTAAATTCGGTTAACCTTGAAAGTGTGCATCAACGAAACATTATTGTCAGACGACTAAAAAAATAACTATTATATATTACTAAGAAAATTCTCTCGTAAGAATATTTTAATAGATAATATATTTGTCAATTTTTTATATTTTTATAAACATATATTTACTTATTAAAAAATTTACAAAGTAAGATCGAAATAATATTTAAGTAACAAAAAAACCCGAAAAATCCGACAAAACCGAACCAATCCAAACCGATATAGTTGGTTTGATTTGGTTTTGATAAAACCCGAACCAACCCGGTTCATGTACACCTCAAGAGAAAAATATAATTACAAATTATAAAACTTTTTATATAGTTTCTGAATTTTTAAATTTTAATTTTACAATATTAAGAAAATATAATACTTCCTCTGTCATATTGTATTTCTCTTTTACATGCCCCTTAAGAATTATTAATTAGAAAATGGATTTAACTATTCTACTCTTATTTATAATCTCTCGTCATTAAATATTTATTCTACTTATGTGTTATTTCCATCTTCAAGCACAATTATTATTAAGGGTAAAAAAGAGTAAAAAACAATCAATTTTGTTTTGAACTTCTAAAATGACAAATAATTTGAGACAACTATTTTTAGTAACCACGATTATTAATATGAGTCGGAGGTGGTACAATTTAGCTTAAAAGATTAGTCAATTTGACTCACAAAAAACGAAACGTGATAAGTAAAAGTGAACAAAGGGAGTAATTGTTTGAGAAACTAACCCTCTATAGCCCCTTAAAAATTTAATAGCCCATATTTTTTCCCATTGACACGAAATGGCCCTCCGACCCAAACATATTACATCTATTATCCCGAAATATCTATTGTATATTTTTTGTATAGTGACAGTCTATTATATATATTTTTTATATAATGACAGTCTATTTTGTATATATTTTGTATAGTGACAGTCTATTTTGTATATGTTTTGTATAGTGACAATCTATTGTATATAAATTGTATAGTGACAGTCTATTTAGTATATTTGTGTATATTGACATTCTACAACAACAACAACAACAACAACCCAGTATAATCCCACTAGTGGCGTCTGGGGAGGGTAGTATGTGCGCAAACCTTACCCCTACCCTGGGTAGAGAGGCTGTTTCCAAATAGACCCCCGACATTCTTTCCTCCAAGAACTCCCCACCTTGCTCTTGGGGTGACATTCTATTTTGCATATTTTGTATAGTGACAGTCTATTTAGTATATTTTTTGTATAATGACATTCTATTTTAATTTTGTATATATTTTGTATAGTAATAGTCTATTGTATATAAATTATATATTAATAATTTATTTTGTATAGTGACAGTCTATTTTGTATATATTTTGTAATATATCAATATTCAAAAGAAATGCTCTCCGGTCTAATACATAATCTAAATATGTAAGATGTAGGGTCTACCTCTACATTTGTCAAACTTTTGGGACTACTACTTGATTTGGAGTGATTTTTTTCCTTGTCTTTAAGTTGAAGGTTTCAAGAATTGAATACAAGATTTGTCAAATCTCAGCAGTTGCGGTATTAATACTAATGGTGTACAGGCTCCAGGTTCGACCTTATCGCAAATCGTGAAATCGAAATCAAAACCCAGTCAATCTAACCCACTGTGCTCGATCTCATTGGCTTCAGATCTAGACGGAAACTCACACACCGGGAACCCTCCATTAAATCCGACGACTCTTTCTTCTCGTTTTATTAACTATTTTTGGGGCTTTTGATATTATAAACAACCTTGCATATGGATGAATCCGGTTCGTCACCGGTTTCACCTTATAATTGATTTTGGGCTATTAATTATATGACTTATTTTGTGGCTACCGATTGTCATTAATTTTTTCAGCATGGCTATAAATGATAATTGCTCGATTATTTTTCGTGGAACTCAATTAGTGCTGTATTCTGGGCCGGGACCGGGCCTAAATGGGCCAAACGGGCCGGGCTTAATGGGCCTGGGCCTAGCGGTCCCGGGCTCTGGCGGTCCCGGGCCTCACGGTCCCGGGCTTCTTGGGCTCAACGGGTGGAACCAGCCCGTGACGAGCCTAAGCCCATTTGTAATATATATATGTAGAAATCAAATTATTAAAGTGCTTGACGAAAAAGTAAAATAACAAAACAATAGTAAAACTAAATTGCCATGCATAATAAATTAATAAGAAAGTACAACATGAAGCATAAATACGTCTAATAAGTTTAAAATAACACAAATTGTTGAAATATCTTAAAGACGAATTTGCGGATAAATACCATCAACACAATACGTTATATGCCTCCTTAAAATGCCTGTGGTACACCCTGAACGAAAATTTAAGACTCTTCCACAGTTTTTGCATTTTAATATTTGGCCTTCTTCATTTTCTTCAAGCACTTCATAGTAGTGCGAAACATATAAGCGCACTCTTTCCGAACGAGGCATGATGTAACTTGAAAATTAAGATTGAGACTTGAAGTCTTGAAAATTGGAGATTGAGAGAAATTTAGATTGAGAAATGAGTATTGAGTATTGAAATGAAGAAGAGGGAGGGGGTATTTATAGTGTTAGAGAAGGTTAGTTTTGTAAATTGCAAGTGTAACGGCTATTTGTGCAATATGGCCGTTGGTGGTCATTGGGGGTGGGGCCCTCATTTTGAATTTTGAAAAATCTTGTTTTGTAGTATATATATATAGATCTTCTTGTAGTATATATTGTATGTTATGTATATATATATAGTATGTTATGTATAGTATACTATATATAGTATGTTATGTATAGTATACTATATATAGTATGTTATGTATAGTATACTATATATAGTATGTTATGTATAGTATACTATATATAGTATGTTATGTATAGTATACTATATATAGTATGTTATGTATAGTATACTATATATAGTATGTTATGTATAGTATACTATATATAGTATGTTATGTATAGTATACTATATATAGTATGTTATGTATAGTATACTATATATAGTATGTTATGTATAGTATACTATATATAGTATGTTATGTATAGTATACTATATATAGTATGTTATGTATAGTATACTATATATAGTATGTTATGTATAGTATACTATA